CCTGCTGAAATTTGGTGCCTTTTCTTGCAGAGTGCTCCTTTGTCGATCCTGGAGAGCTATGAGCTCGCTTCAATGACTCTGGAGTATCGGAGGGAGTGTGGGAAGGACAGCATGCTGCAGTCCCTGACTGCGGTCTCTGCTGCAGACATAGGCCATCTGGGAAGATCTGGGGGAGTTGAGTGCCAGCACTTGCTTCGGCTTGAGAATGGAGCGGAGATTGTGAGGGGAAGGACTGAGTGGAGGCCGAAACACGCCAACAATCTTGGGACGATGGGTGAGCTTCCGGAAGAAAACGCTTGAGTCTCTCTGGGTTGTTCTTTGTAGCTGGAACAACAACAACATTAGTCTTCCCTGATGTGTGTCCAATGCTTGTGTAGAATCCTGCTCATGCTTCTTGAACTTGCATTATAATGTTTGTTCATCTTATGCATATATAATGTACTTATATATATCGCCCCTAATCTGTCTTTCCGAAAAAGACAGAAGAGAAAGAAGTAATCCCATTGTAATTAGCTCTGCCCTCACTATATCTCTCTCTCTCTACCTCTCTATCTCTCAAAATATTCTCTCGTGCTAGCCTGGCCTGGCTGGTTGGTGGGCTCTTTGAAGAGAGTGTACTCATTCTCTTGGTGTCATTTGGACCCATAGCTGTCTAGGTATAGTGCAGGTTTATTTAAGTAGCTAAATTGGGCCAGACGTGTATTTATTTATTTGTTTGTTTTTATTATAATAATAATTATTTTTTGCACTTCCGTTTCAGAATGATTTTTGATTTTTTTATTTTTTGGGACTTTGTTGCGGATCCTGTATTGAAACGGTGTTAAAGAGCTATTTGTGTGCTGTATACCTTCTTGAGTGTCTGATGTCGGAGTTCGATGCATGTCTTTTCTTATGGGTGTTTTATTTGAACTTACTGGTGGAACCGGTTGTTTAATGGGGTCGTGGTTTTCCTTGTAGTTTGGGGCAATTTGAGTCGGTATCGGTGATTGTGTTTCATTAATTTAAATTATATTATCCTGTATTTCATTAATTTAAATTATATTATCCTTCAAAAAGAAAAAAAAAAAAGGTGTTTACTGATGACGTGTTGCACAAACCGATGTTGGTTGAGGTTTTAAAACTCCTTTCCACATAACTATACGCTAGCCAGAAAACTAATTGCTTTTATTTTGAGAAACAATAAGAGTATAGATCTTTGAACTGTGAGTTGTGTTTTGCTTCTGTTTGGTTGCAACTGAAAGCAGCACTTTAAAATCGCAGCAATCTCAAATTAAGGTCCCGTTCATTTCACTGATTCGAATTTTACTATACAAAAAGTTTTCAGAAACTGTCACATTTAATTTTTTTTTGCTACAATAAAAAGTTCACATAAAGTCACCTTTCAATTCGAATTAAAAACTCCAACCAATGAACTAAATGGCCTTAGGCTTAGTTTGGTAGGGCTGTAGATTTTGGAAAAATTGCTTTTAACTGTGCTGCAGGAAAAAACAGATGTTAAAAAAAACAGTTGAGTATTTGGTAAACTATAATTATAATAGCTGTGCTGGTTTCAAAATCAGTGTAATAGCGTTTGATAAATTATGAGGTTGAATTGTTGTGGATAGTTAAAAATTACGACTATATTATACTATAATATAATATATAATTACAATATAATATATATTTATTATTATATTTAATATAATAAAAAACTATTCTTATATAATTATGA